ATCCAGATCTAGATTCGGAGAGGCGCGCTGAGATCAGTTGCGCGTCGGTTCGCGAGGGCGTGTTCTCCTGGATGACGGTCTGGATGATTGCGCTGGAGTTGCTAGGTGGCGCGGTTCGTGTCGAGGCTGATTTTCGGCGGTTCAGGGTGACCTGCGCCGAGCTTGCGCTGGCAGAGCGAGTGGGCCCCTTCCGCGTCCAGTCCGCGCGCCCCCACGAGCAGGTGCACCCACCCGTGCCCAAGCCCAGACAACCTCGGGAGCCGATGGATGACGTCGGGGATCGTCGCCCGAAGGCAACGCCGCGAAGGCCGAAGGGCAAGTTGCGCACCCGAGGCCCTGTCCCCGATGGCGACGGCGATGGCGCCGACCCGCCCGAGCCGTTCGAGCACCATAGCGTGGGCCATTCCGATTCTGGAGAGTCGTTCGGGCGCAGTCCTGCTCCTTCCGAGCTCTCCGACGGCGACGGCGACCCCGCTCGACCTCCCCCGCCAGAGCCTCGTGGTCCTCCGCCGCCAGAGCTCCCAGGGAGTCCGCCGGCGCCCCCGCCGCCAGAGCCCCCCGGGAGTCCGCCGACGCCACCGCCGCCCGAGCCCCCGCCCGACGCGCCAGAGCGCGGCGCGGGCAGGGGTGGCGCCAGGCAGAGGCGCGCGATCAAGTGGGCGAAGATTTTCTCGATCTCGGAGGTGCCTCCGAACGGCTGGGGCGCCAACTGCCACCGGCACCTCAACAATGGAGACGCCAACTTATGTGGGGGGGGGCAGTGTGAAGGGGCCCACGATTGGAGGAGCAGATGATGAGGGAGAGGTGCAGTAGCATCGGCATGATGGCAGTTGCCTCCCGTGTTTCGCACGATTCATTCGGCCTTTCGCCACGCTCTCATCCCGAGGGGTTTCGCACGTTCTTGACGCGAGATAGCAGTGGCGCGCGAGGGGTGCGCCGAGATGGGCAGGCCCGACCTTTTGTGAAGAGGGGGGGGGGACGTGGTTAGTCGTGGCGCGTGAGGGGTGCGCCGAGATGGGCAGGCCCGACTTATTGTGAAGAGGGGGAGGGGCGTGGTTAGCCGTGCATCCGAAGTGAGGGTTCGCACCCTTCCCCCGTTTTTTTTTCCCAGATATCGCCTCGTGCATTTTTCTGGCCCCAGGGCCCAAAATCAGCGCCCTGGGGGGTGCAGAGAAAGATGAGGGACATTAGACTCGGTATCCCCGAGTCTGATGCCCCTCTGATCTGATGTTTTGGAAGGGGAGCGAACCTGCGAGAACCCCCATGTCGAGCCCGCATAGGGTTCGAGATGCTCGCGGGTGAAGTGCGACGGAGCTATCGGGCGCACCCCCCCTCGAGGCCGACCGCCTGGCCGCCGCCCCCCCCCCCCAGCGGGGCCCCGCCCCCTCCGGGGGGGACTCCCCGCGGCTGTCGCCGCCCCGCCGCCCCGCGGGCCAGCGGCAGTGCCCGTGTTCCGCGCGAGGGGTGTGCCGAAATGGGCTTGGGGTATCTTGGGGTCTCTCTGGCTATCCTGTAGGGCGCCCGCCCCGTCCGCCCCCTCCTTTAGGTTTTCCGCCCTTGTAGGGCCTCGGGGGCCAGCAGCAGTGCCCGCGATCCGCGCGAGGAGTGTCCCCTCATGGGTCGCGGGCGCAGTGCTCCTTGAAGTCTCGGGGTCTTTCGGCACCCCTTCGGCCCCATGGGGCTTTAGGGCTTCCGCCCCCTTCCGCCCCCCGCCGCTGGCCCTATGAGGCCCCGAGGCTTCCGCCCCTCCCGCCCCCCGCCGCTGGCCATATGGCATGGGCCCCTCAGGGCTTCCGCCGTCTGCTGGCCCCATGGGGCTTTAGGGCTTCCGCCCCCCCCGCCCCCCGCCGCCGGCCCTATGAGGCCCAGAGGCGCCCCCCGCCGCTGGCCCTATGGCGTGGGGCCCTTATGGGTTCCGCCCCCTGCTGGCCCCATGGGGCTTTAGGGCTTCCGCCCCCTCCGCCCCCCGCCGCTGGCCCTATGAGGCCCCGAGGCTTCCGCCCCTCCCGCACCCCGCCGCTGGCCCTATGGCATGGGCCCTTACGGCTTCCGCTCCCTGCTGGCCCTATGGGGCTTTAGGGCTTCCGCCCCCTCCGCTCCCCGCAGCTGGCCATATGAGGCCCCGAGGCTTCCGCCCCTCCCGCCCCCCGCCGCTGGCCCTATGGCATGGGCCCTTAGGGCTTCCGCTCCCTGCTGGCCCTATGGGGCTTTAGGGCTTCCGCCCCCTCCGCCCCCCGCAGCTGGCCATATGAGGCCCCGAGGCTTCCGCCCCTCCCGCCCCCCGCCGCTGGCCCTATGGCATGGGGCCCTTAGGGCTTCCGCTCCCTGCTGGCCCTATGGGGCTTTAGGGCTTCCGCCCTCCTCCGCCCCCCGCCGCTGACCCTATGGGGCCCCGAGGCTTCCGCCTTTTCCGCCCCCCGCCGCTGGCCCTATGGCATGGGGCCCTTAGGGCTTCCGCTCCCTGCTGGCCCTATGGGGCTTTAGGGCTTCCGCCCCCTCCGCTCCCCGCAGCTGGCCATATGAGGCCCCGAGGCTTCCGCCCCTCCCGCCCCCCGCCGCTAGCCCTATGGCATGGGGCCCTTAGGGCTTCCGCCCCCTGCTGGCCCCGTGGGGCTTTAGGGCTTCCGCCCCCTCCGCGTCCCGCCGCTGGCCCTATGAGGCCCACAGGCTTCCGCCCCTCCCCTGGCCCTATGGCATGGGGCCCTTAGGCCTTCCGCTCCCTGCTGGCCTTATGGGGCTTTAGGGCTTCCGCCCCCTCCGCCCCCCGCCGCTGGCCCTATGAGGCCCAGAGGCTTCCGCCCCTCCCGCCCCCCGCCGCTGGCCCTATGGCATGGGGCCCTTAGGGCTTCCGCTCCCTGCTGGCCCTATGGGGCTTTAGGGCTTCCGCCCCCTCCGCCCCCCGCCGCTGGCCCTATGAGGCCCCGAGGCTTCCGCCACTCCCGCCCCCCGCCGCTGGCCTTATGGCATGGGGCCCTTAGGGCTTCCGCTCCCTGCTGGCCCTATGGGGCTTGAGGGCTTCCGCCCCCTCCGCCCCCCGCCGCTGGCCCTATGAGGCCCCGAGGCTTCCGCCCCTCCCGCCCCCCGCCGTACGTGGCCCTTAGGGCTTCCGCTCCCTGCTGGCCCTATGGGGCTTTAGGGCTTCCGCCCCCTCCGCCCCCCGCCGCTGGCCCTATGGGGCCCCGAGGCTTCCGCCTTTTCCGCCCCCCGCCGCTGGCCCTATGGCATGGGGCCCTTAGGGCTTCCGCTCCCTGCTGGCCCTATGGGGCTTTAAGGCTTCCGCCCCCTCCGCGTCCCGCCGCTGGCCTTGCAGGGCCCTAGGGCTTCCGCCCCTCCGCCCCCCGCCGCTGGCCCCGCGGGGGCCGCGGAAGCGAGAGGGGAACAACCGAACGGCGACGAAGAGGGGGGGAAGGGCTTCTTGATTCTCTCAACACACATGCCTCTCCAAAGTGAAAACACCGCGGCCTGCAATGGCTTGAAGCTTGCGAAAACCGCACCTCCCCCCCCAACTTACCTTCTGAAACCGTTCAAAAGAAAATGTTCGGAAAGTTCGTGGAAGGGTGCTCTCGGGTCGCTCCGGGGGGCTCTTGGGGCACCGGAAACACCTCGCAATGTCAAGGGCAAGGCAAAGGCATCAACGCCCCAGCAAAGTGCAAGCAAGCAGCGCGCGCTCTGCCTCGTCGTCGCCGGGCGAGGGGAGGCACTAAGAGTTTGGGCATGGGCAAGAAGAACCCGATCCCAGAGGGCACCGTCAAGATGGCGCTGAAGCGCTGGCTCGTCGAGGGGCTCGACGTTCCCACCGATGGCGTTGCCGTTCGGTATCAGCACATGGCCTGTTTCCCGGACAGGAGGGCCGACGTCGAGGCCTACGCCTCGGAGTTTTCCGAGGCTCAGCTTGTGCAGCGAGTGGATGAGTGGCTGGCTGCTCACCCGCCGGCATAGTTGCAAAATCGATCGACAGGCGCGCGCTGGCGCGCAGAGCGTTCCAGTGGCAGGGCTCGAGTGGCAGCCTTTCCTTAATCAACCTTGCTTGCAGTCTGCCCCTTCGCCTGCCCTTCAGCCTCGGCGTCTCCGCGCCTGTTGCTCGTGGCCCCAGGGTGCCAGATGGGGGTCGAGGGCCCTCGATGGACGACGGCGCGCAGCCCCTCATTGCCCGAGCGCCGCATCTGCAGCAGATTGTGGCGGGCTGGCTTTGGGCGGCAGCGTTGCGGTGCGTTCAAGGATCAGCGGTTGGGCCGCATCGGGGTCATCTCGGGAGCTCATTGGGCCGTTCTGGGGCGCGGAAACCTCGGATGGGGCCCTGCGTCGAAGGCCTCTTGGGCCGCCTCGGGGCGAGGGGGGCCCTGGGGGGATCTATAGTCGATATCTTAGATATCCTCATTCATGCTATAGCGTTGGCCCGTGGACTTCGACGCCGCAATAGAGGGCCCCAAGGCGGCCTAATAGGCCGCAAACAGTGTGCCGAATGGCGGGTTTTGGAGCGAGGTGGGCTACGTTTACATTATATACTAAAGCATACAACTGCAACATACAATGGGCTGCATCATAAAGAAACCATAAGATGAGATCGTAGCAACAACATTTGCAACACCATGACAGCTTGAATTTAGCTAGATGCGACCCCTGTGTGCAAGGCTTGTCGAAGCGTTCTTTGCGAGCGTCGCCTCAGGATTGCCCTCCATCCGAGGCGGGGGGATTGTGGGGGGTGCATGTATTTATGGGTTCACTGCGATCGCGCCCCCAGCGATCGATATCGGGCGGGCCCCATTCTTTCCTCGGCGTTCGCGCAGGCCGATGGGGCCACCCACGCCCCACTGGTACCCCCACCCCGCCCATTCCGTCTCCATCACCAGGGTGACATGTCTAGTCTCGTCCGGGTCCGACCTTGCCCCGCGCCAAACTCGGCAGCTTCGCACCCCCTGCCCCGACGGCGCTCGGCTCCAAGCGCCGCCGCGCAGCTCTCACAGAGTCACGCGGGGACATTGCCAGTTTCAGCTGCCAACATGGAAGCAATGGATGCGCTTCCGGACGCCGACGGCGAGTCCGACGCGTGGGAGTCGCCCATGCAGTGGACTCAACAGCATGCGGATCTTACAGTTGACGGCATGTTGCAGGTCAGCTCGGGAGGGCACTAATCGTGGAAGCAGTTCCCCGGTGGATTCGGCATGCTATGCGTAAATTTGGGCAATTAAATGTAATAGTTGTTCTGTGGAATGGGCATTTAGTTGTTTATGTACGTGCGGGCCATGTAAGTTTACATGGCGTTCTTGCGTTATTTTACATGGCTGCGTTTTGCCTGATAAAACACATGGTTTTGCGCCCCCACAACTATTTATAGCTCATTTCTATGTAATTTTACATGGCCCTCTTTTGCAGGTAACAACTATTGCCAACTCGCTGGTGCAACTATTGTCTGGCGGGGGCTCGAGGTCAGCCCTGGCTGGCTCGGGGCGCGCCTGAAGGGCTTCGGTCACCGCCCCAGGCCCCCCCTCATCTATCCTTATCCCCGGCAGATTCAGCGACCAAGTATTTTTCTAAACGGCACCCCTGGGCGGAGCGGGGGCAGCCATTGCGGAGTTCCAGGATGTCAAGTGATTTTGGGAGCACCTGGAGCACCCGCGACAGATTCGCTCTAATAGCGGGCGCGGTGGGCGTTGAGTTTGCGATTCTCGGGGGCGCCCGAGCGCCCGCCAGGAAGCGCCCGCGCGGCGCCCGCCGCGCCTGCGCGCACTCTATTGCGGGCGCTTCGGGGGCGCCCCTAAGTCTCCAGGGGCTTCTCGGATAACATATTGTTTCATCGATGTCTCAGCCCCGTGCACCGACCACTTTTTGGGACAATGAGTGGCCGGCCATATTTTTTCCCAGAATGTGGTCGCCCCGACTTGGAGAGACTCTCGTCCTGGTGCTCGCCCTTCGGATCTCGGCCAGGACGCCCTCCTGAAGTGCATAATGATGCAGGTCCAGCGGATGTCGGCACAGGACCACGTCGACATGTCCAGCAGCGTCCGGGCGGCGGTCGACTCAATGGGCGCTGAGTTCGACTACGGCACTCTCTGGTCAGGCGACGAGGTGACGTCGCAGATCCTGAGCCGCGTCTTTTTGTTCCTCCAGTCTCAGTTCGGCGTCGTGTTTGCCCCGTCTTTGAAGTACGTGTGCGAGATCAACGAGACGCGGCGTCAGTTCATCATCGACCACGCGCATCCAGTGCAGGCGTTCTCAGATGGGCTGGCGCTCTCAAACAACAAGTGGGTTGGCACCAACTGCGTGACCTCGGCGGAGGGCGTTCCCATGGTTCGCACTCGGTTTCTTTTCGCTGGCTTCGAGTGCGACAGCGTCTCGGGCCTCTTCACTTCGGGCGAGGGCCGGGGCTCCATGAGTGAGTGCGTTGCCGACGCAGCGGGGCGCACAGGCAAGACGGCCAAAGCTACGATCGCATGGATTATAACATCCAGGCCGTGGTTATCGATCTTGGAAAACGTCAAGACCATTGGCCAGAGGAACCTCAAAGCGCTCATCGCCGGCTTGAACAAACACGGGTTTCACGTGGAGTACATGCAGCGGGAGGCGGAGAAATGGGGGTCCCCTGAGAGACGCACGCGGAGCATCATGCTCGTGACCCCCGTGGCCGAGACGGAGATCGACCAGTTCGCCGAGGGTTTCGTCCCGCCTGCTTGGTTGCTCGACTTCCACGCGTTCATGAATCGTATCCAGATACCAGCCCTCTCGATTGAAGATGTCCTTCTTCCCGACGACTCCCCGCTGCTCCATTCGTTATCGGCCTCGATCAACGCTGAGAGGGCTGCGCGGGAGGCCGCTCTGGATTCGAACAAGGCGAAGCGCTCGAAGAAGTGCCCCGCCGTCTCTGAGAAGCCGAAGGCTGATAAAAACCTATGGGAGTCGGATCACCTCGAGACCTACCGCCAGGCGGGGATGACTTGGCACCCCAAGTGGTCAGCTGACGACCCCGATCACGCAGAGTTTCTGAACGCCACCGAGGCGATGTCGGACCGCATGCGCGAGGTGGCATGGTATCACAAGGTGCAGTGCGCCAAGGATGGCGCCCCGAAGAGTGTGATCTACGACCTGAACATGAGCATCGGGTGGGTCGCGGTGGGGGCCAACAAGTTCCCCACGATCACCTGCTCCAGCGTGATGTACGTGAACAGGTTCATGAGCGAGATTGCCAACCGCAAGGCCAGCCGCGCTGCGCTAGGCGACTCGGCGTGCTAATTGGCGGTTGCTGGAGGGCGAGATCGATCGGGGGCGACGGCGGCGAGGGGGGCACGGGCGGGGGGGAAGGGCGAGGAGAGCGAAGGGCCAATCGGAACCAGGATCAAGATCAGGATCAAGAAAAAAGATCAGGATCAGGAGATCCAGATGATAAGAGACAGTCGGATCAAGGATCGGGGTCGCGATCGGGGTCAGGTTCGGGGCGATGGGCGAGTAGACAGCGAGTGGCGTGGCGCCACTTGCTATTGGGCCCTCTCGGGGCCCTGGTGGACCCCTCTCGGGGCCATCTGGGCCCATCCTGGACGAGCTTCGAGGCTCGGGCGGCCCCCGAGGGGGCTCCGAGTAGACCCCGAGGTGGCCCGAAAGCAAGTGGCGTGGCGCCTGAGATGGCCCGAAAGCAAGTGGCGTGGCGCTTCTTGCTTGCGGGCCATCCCGGTCCGTTATGAGCCCCGCCTGGGCTCATCTTGCGTGGGATTCTGAAGCTCGGAGGGGCCCCCAAGAGGGCTCCGAGTGGGCCCCGAGGTGACCCGGAAGCAAGTGGCGGGGCGCAACTTGTTGTTGGGCCCCAGGGATTATTTCGGGGCTCTCTCGAGACCTCCTCGTGCCCCTCCTGGGGCATCCCCTCGGACTCGGAACTCTGATCCAAACCCGCCGCGGACGTCGGAGAGGTGCGGAGGGCGGGATGCTTCGGTCCGCCCTCGCAGGCCTCGAGTTGATGGCAGCGCAGGGCTTTCCCTGGTGCGCGTGCTCGGTGATGAACGTTTCGAACCGGGACGCTACTGAGATGGCCGGAAATCAATTTAACGGCTTCTTTTTCGGTGCATTGTGCTTGGCCATCTTCAAGGCCTTCCCCTTCGCCGAGTTCGGCGAGCGCGCGCGCGCGCCCACCCCGTGCACGCAGGTGCCCGTTGTGCAGATCGAATTGGAGGACAGCAGCCAGGATGTTCAGAATTCGCAAGGCTCCGACTTGGTCTTCGCTGAGGACCTCAGCCAGCCCGCGAACACCCAGGAGCTCAGCTTGGACATGGGCAGCTAGGCCACGATTGTAGACTGATCAGATCGTTTACAGATAAGGTGGCTGCTCAGCTGGCGCCTCTTCTCCGACAAGGTTCGGCATCCTCGACGCGGCGGCAATTGTGCCTCTGTGGTTGCCTGGAACACGGCTCTCCCCTCCAGGGTTTTCAATTCGTGGGTTATAGTTATCTCCTGCTTTGGGCTTCAACCCTCGAGAGAATACTTCCCGCCCCCTGTTGGCCATCGGGGTGATGGCGCTCTCGTCGCCGCTGCTGGGTTTACCTCGGGCGCTCTTGAGGGGCCCTCTTGGGTCCCTCTTGGGACTCTCTGGGGGGGGGGGCATCTTGGCTCCTCGAGAGCCCATCGGAGGGCTCGGAGGGCAATTGGAACCGTCTTAGGGCCGTCCTGAGGCCTTCTGGATGCGCGTTGGAGACTATCTTGAGTCATCTTGAGGTATCTTGGGCGATCTTGGAGGCCATCTTGGGATAGCTAAAGCCCGATCGAAGCTATCTTGGGCCATCTTGGACGCTCTGACCCCCCGCGGGGGAACCCGCCCAGGCCCGGGGATGGGGGGGGGATGAACCTCCAGAGCAGGGAATGGAAGGAGGTTCGAACAGGAAGCGCTTTAGACCACCTGCGCCCAGAGGGCTGGCGGGGTTTGGAGCCTCCAGGCAGGCCCGCGGCATGCGGCGTGCTTTGGAGCCCTTTGACTTCGCCTTGGGTCTTGGGCTTATCCTATAATGACGCGGCACATCCCAAAACAGCATGCTCTTTTTTGTGGTTCCGCGCGGCAGATCTCCAACAACATATAGTGTGGTTTTGCATTCCGCGTGTGCGCCCCCCTCTGGGGCCCCTCATGGGCCCTCTCAGGGGCCTTTTCGTGCCCTCTTGGACCCTTCCCCATGCTTTCGCAAGGGCCCAGGAGGGCCCCTCGGAAGCCTCCAACGGAACCTACGAGTGGCAAATCCCTTAAACATATGCATTGTTTTGCGCCGCCGCGTGGTGAATCCCTTAAACCATATTTTGTCGTTTTGGATTCCGCGTATGGGTCCCCCTCTGGGGCCCCTCATGGGCCCTCTCGGGGGCCTTTTCGCGCCCTCTTGGACCCTTCCCTAGGCTTTCGCGGGGGCCCAAGAGGGCCCATCAGAAGCCTCCAGCGGAACCTACGAGTGGCAAATCCCAAAAACACATTGTTACTTCTTGTGATTCCGCGTGGCAAATCCCCAACGCATATTTTGTTGTTTTGGGTGCCGCGTGAGGTGCTGACCTCATTGCCACTTCGTGGCAGGATGGAGTCTGCTTCCCTGGCCGCTCTCGCGATCATGGTCGGGGAACTGTTTTGTGGGTGGGGCTCCCCATGGCCAGAACTTTGAGGCTAGTTCGGTTTTGTTCGTGGTTGCGCGAATGCTGCTCCGTTTGCTAGCTCGTCTTGCTAGAGGCGCCTCCAGGTTAGCGTTCCATTCTCTTCTTCTGCAGTGACGCTGATGGGCGATCTCCCCGAGCTCCCCTCGACCCGCAGCGCCGCGGGGTCAGCGGCGGGCTCTGCGGTGGATGAGCCAGCCCGCAGCGCCGCCGCGAAGAGGCCAGGAAGCAAACATGATGAGGAGCCGTGCGCTAACGGGAGGCGGTAGCGTTGAAACGTTGCGGGCGTCTTGAGTCACCGGGCGGCTTGGCGCGCGCTCGCCCCGGCCCTTCCGCAGCCCCGATGATTGGGGTCGCCGGGCCGAGCGAGGACTCTTGACGCGTGCAACGTTTCAAACGCTCCGCGGGGGAGGGGTCGCCCAGGGCTGGAGCGCCGGCTTTCGCGAGCACCCCTGGAAGCGTCGCGGGCTTCTTCCAGGCGCCTCGGGCCCAGACATAGCCACGTAGCGGGCCCCTTAGCGCCTCTGTCTTGGGCCCCAGGAGCCGCCCAAGAAGTCCGGGAAGTGTCGCGCGAGTATCCCTTGCAGCTTCTTGTGCGGTGCCAACAGCGACGACATGGACCCGATTGACCCTTCCAAACTCATTCGGTGGGGGCGCGGGGAAGCCCGCTCCCCCGACGGCAAGATCTACGGGAACGCCGTCGACAACGACTGGTACTGCGAGAGGACGTACATGCAGAAATTCGGGCACTTGTTCACCTCCAGGATCGAGTTTAAGAGGAAGCTCGAGGGGGACAAGGTGATGCTCGACGGTTTCATGAAGCACCGCAATGACTTCATCGACTCGGGCAGGGGCACGGGCAAATGCCGCTTCCCAAGGTCTTCCGCAGGCAGCGGCAACCCAGTCAAGGTCTCCCGCAAAACGACGGCCAAGACAGAGCTCAAGGCCCCGAACGATAAGTTCTACACGGAGAAGCACTACAAAGAGACATTCGGCTGGCCCATACAAAAGGCAAACGGTCACCGCCGCGTGAAGTTCGGGCCGCACAAGGGGATCGCAGTGCCTGGAGATCAGGTCATGGACCAGCCGTGGGAGATCATCAACACGTACGGCAAGGGCTTGGAGATGGAGGATGGCGGGGCTGTTTCCCTCCGTCGTCCTGTCCTTCGCCCCCCCTCCTCTTCTGCTCCTCGCTCCATCCCCCTTCTCATTATCCCCCCCCGCCGCCTGAGGGGGAAGGAGCGAGGGGCAAGGGGGAAGGGGCGATGGGGGGAGGGCCAGACGGGGTTGCGGCATCCCAGCCTCGCCGAGGAAGTCGTTACAGATGGAGAGGACGAAGATGGCCCTGGCGGCGAGACCAAGTTCGAGGAGCTCGTGGATCAGCACTTGGAGCAGTACTCGGAGATGGTCAAGGGCAAGACTCACGGGGAGATGATGGCAATGGTGCAGGACTGGATTTGGAAACCCAGATTACAGCAACTCGGCGCACGCGGCTTAGGGCGCCCCGGCCTTGGCCCCCATGGCAGCCCTAAGCCCGCGTCGGGGGAAATTTGGGATTCCAAGTCCCTCAGGAAAGAAAAGCGGCCGAGGCCGCCGCGGCGGCAGCGCCCGGGGAGGCCGACGGCGCGGCGGAGCTTTCCACGCCCGCGAAGGCCACCAGGAACGCTCCTCCCCAGCCAGAGTCTGGGTCTGGCGGGAAGAGCCATGGCGGCCAGTCCCAGTCGCCCCAGGGGGCAGATGCGCCAGCACCTTCTCGGAGCCGCGGCGTCTTTGGGGCGGTTTCCGAGAGCCCGAGCCCGAAGGCCAGAGCGCGGTGCCAGCCTAGCAAGCAGCGGCCCTCGGCTAAGCCAGCGCCGAAGCAGGCGAAGGTCGCGGCCAAGACCGCTGAGCAGTCCAGGGCAGTCGCGCCTGCGGGCCGTCCGAAGCCGCCACAGCAGCAGGCTTCGGGCGCAGGCAAGAGGGGGCCGCGTCGCACTGACCTGGATGAGTACCCGAGCCTGGGGACCCCCCGGCAAGAGATGCGACGAGGGGCCAGGAGCAGCCCCGGGAGGGCCCCCAAAAGCAGCCCCCTGAAGCTTCCCCCGAGGCATCGTTCTTGCGGGGCCCCTGGGGGGGGGCTCGCATTGCAGAAGGGCCCGATGCAGCATGTTGCGCGCCGCTTGGGGCCACCTTGACCGCCCTGCACCTTCCCGGGTCTCTGGGGGGCCCTCAGAGGCCCCCGAATGTTTTCAGGTGCTCGCGTCGATTGCGATTCGTCGCGGGGACTTGGGCGCGGCGTTCCCGGCGCCGACATCCGAGGATATCTCGAGCGAGATGAATAAAGTTACGTGCCGTGGGAAACGTAATTGTATACGTTTCGCTAGGGAAATCGTCGGACATTGGGTCTCGAAGTTGGCCCCATCCCATGCTCGTGACGTTGCCGGCGCCGAAGTCCGAGGATGTCTCGGGTGAAACGAGAAAACATAACTCTTGATCCATGGGGGACGTACCTTGATGTATTTCGCTCGAGGCATCCTCGTGGTTGAAATTGGTTTTGGCTTTATCATGTTTGAAAGATCAGGCCTGGCCCCCGAGTGAATCATCGCCTTGTGGCATCTGGACGGGCGGGTGTCGGGCATCGCCTTCCCAACAGGTACTCGAGTAAGTTGCTGAGCGAGTGGTGCGCGTCGAGCGCCTCGGACACGTTCTGGAACGCCGACGCGGCCACGGCGCAGTTCAGGTCCCTCAACCGCTACATCGGCATCCTGAAGAACGAGATTGACACGGCAGAGTTCGAGAACGCAGAGTCGGCGACCACCGACCAGCTGTCGATGTCCAGGCTCCAGATTATCGAGGCATCCATGAAAATTTTCAGCAAGAAGCGTTCCCCAGCCCTTCTTCAAGAGTTTAAGCCGTTCGACGCCTTCGTCCAGAGGTTCGCGGAGAGGGCGAAAGGTGGGGCGCCCCGTGATCCAGAGAAATGCTCCTCCGATTTCTTCGAGAATTATCGCTTGGGCTTGGAGCTCGAGTATTCGTTCGGCGCGTGCCCGATCTCCATCCAGAGGGTGAGCTCCATGGTCTTGGCGAGGGCGGACGTCGACGAGATGCGGGCCAAGATCTTGGAGGGCATGGTGGCTGCCCTGGTGAGGCCCGGCTTTCAGACGGCCAGCGTCGCCAAGAGGATCGCGGACCAGTGCGAGGCGTTCCTGGAGAGTGCCCCGGAGGTTCTGCGACCCGAGATCTCCGCCGTCGTCTGCATTGCGAGGGCGACTCCCGGCCAGGAGCTCGAGCAGGTGATGTCTGAGATGAACGCCGCGGCGACTGACGCCCGCGCCCTTCAGCAGGACGTCGGCACCACGCGTCTCTGCGTGTTGGCCGTGTCTTCGTCTCTCCATCTCTCGATGATCCTTCCAGGCCTTGTCAAACGATGGTCCTCCCAGGCCTGTTCCAAATCATGATCCTCGGAGGCCCATCCCAAACGATGGTCCTCCCAGGCCTGTTCCGAACGAGGGTGCCCCCAGGATTGTTTTGCACGATGGTCCTCCCAGGCCCGTTTTAAATCATGGCCCAGCCAGGCCGGTCTCATCCTAGCACGGGGGGAGGGGGGGAGACTAGGATGTAGAGAAGGGAGTAGGAGACAGAGTGGGAGAGGAAAACGGATAAACCAAATTTTACCGAAGTCACCGACTAAGCCGAATTCCCTCCTCCTCCTCCCTCTCCTCCCCCCCTCCCCGCGCCCCGCGCCTCCGCGAGCCGGGCGTGCGGCTGCGGCAGCGGTGGCGGCGGTGGCGGCAGTGGCCCCATGCCGGGGGGGGGGCCTCCTCCTTCTCATCCTCCTCCTCCTCCTCCTCCTCCTCCTCCTCCTCCCCCTCCTGCTCCTGCTCCCGATATGGCCTCCACGCTCCTCCAAGAGGGCCTTAAGAGGCGCCCAAGAGAGCCCCAAGAGGGCTGCAAGACGGACCCTATTAGGATCACCCGGAAGGCCTCTGCCGGGTGATCCTAATTGGGTCCGTCTTGGAGCCCTCTCGGAGCCGTCTGGAGACCCTCTTGGAGCCTTCTTGAGGCCATCTTGGGGCCATGTTGGGCCCCGAGAGGCTCTCAAGAGAACCCCAAAAGGACTCCAACTAGGATCACCCGGCAGAGCCCTTCCGGGTGATCCTAATCGGGTGAGTTTTGGGGCCCTCTTGTGGCCCTCCTGGGGCCTCTTAGGGCCTCTTTGGAAGCGTCTGGAGGCCATCTTGAGCCATCTTGGGGCCAGCTCGGGCCCCAAGAGGCTCCCAAGAGGGCCGCAAGAGGGCCCCAATTGGAATCACCCAGCAGAGGCCTTCCGGGTGATCCTAATTAGCTCTGTCTTGGCGCCCTCTTGTGGCGCTCTCCTGGGGCCCTCTTAGAAGCCCCTTCGAGCCCTCTTGGAGGCGTCTTCAGGCCATCTTGCGCCGTCTTGGGCAGTAGTGGCAGTAGTAGTAGAGGCCTCTGTGAAACGTCCCGGGAGCGGCCGGGGATTTTGGCCTAACGTGCTGGGCAGACGTCCGCACGACGGGTGGATGCTCCCGGTGCGGCCGGGGATTTTGGCCTAACGTGCTGGGCGGATGCCCGTGCGACGGGTGGATGCTCCCGGTGCGGCCGGGGATTTTGGCCTAACGTGCATGGTGCTTTCCTCTTGGATGGGGATTCTGGTGTGGCGTCTCTGCAGCGGGTGGGCTGTGTTGCCGCTATCTGTTTCAGCCCTTTCGTCGAAGCAGGCGTTTTTCGGTCAGCGAGCTCCACGCAGGAGCCGTGCAGGCGTCCAGGATTTTGGCCGACGCGCTGACGTCATTCGTAAACCCGACGTGTATGCCCCGCTTGGTTGTTGCAGCGCGCCCAATGCGGCCGGGGAATTTGGGCCTAACGTTGCTGGGCAAGACGAAGTCCGTGCGAAAGGGTGGATGCTCCTGGTGCGGCCCGTGTTTTTTTTGGCTTAACGTGCTGGGCGGACGTCCGTGCGACGGGTGGATGTTCCCGGTGCGGCCGGGGATTTTGGCCTAACGTGCATGGTGCTTTCCTCTTGGATGGGGATTCTGGCGTGGCGTCTCTGCAGCGGGTGGGCTGTGTTGCCTCTGGTGTGTTGCAAGCCCTTTAGTGAAGTCGGGCGCCTTCGGATTCTCCCACGCAGGTAGTCCTCGCGGCCGGGGAATTTTTGGCCTGAACGTCGCTGACTTCATTCGTGCTCCCGCTTGGTGCATGCCGCTTCGTTGTTGTCCAGCCCAGTGCGGCGGGGATTTTGGCCTAACTTGCTGGGCAGACTTCCGCACTACGGGTGGATGCCCTCCCGGAGCGGCCGGGGGATTTTTGGCCTAACGTGCTGGGCGGACGCCCGTGCGACGGGTGGACGCTCCCGGTGCGGCCGGGGATTCTGGCCTAACGTGCATGGTGCTTTCCTCTTGGATGGGGATTCTGGTGTGGCGTCTCTGCAGCGGGTGGGCTGTGTTGCCGCTATCTGTTTCAGCCCTTTCGTCGAAGCGGGCGTTTCGGATGCTCCACGCAGGGTCGTCCTCACGGCCAGGGATTTTGGCCTGACGTCGCTGACGTCATTCGCAACCCCGACGTGTATGCCGCTTGTTGTTGCAGCACGCCCAATGCGGCCGGGGATTTTGGCCGAACGTGCTGGGCAGACGTCCGTGCGAAGGGTGGATGCTCCCGGTGCGGCCGGGGTTTTTGGCCTATAACGTGCTGGGCGGACGTCCGTGCGACGGGTGGATGTTCCCGGTGCGGCCGGGCATTTTGGCCTAACGTGCATGGTGCTTTCCTGTTGGATGGGGAATCTGGCGTGGCGTCTCTGCAGCGGGTGGGCTGTGTTGCCTCTGGTGTGTTGCAGCCCTTTAGTCGAAGCGGGCGTTTCGGATTCTCCACGCAGGGTGGTCCTCGCGGCCGGGGATTTTGGCCTGACGTCGCTGACGTCATTCGCAACCCCGACGTGTATGCCGCTTGTTGTTGTAGCACGCCCAGTGCGGCCGGGGATTTTGGCCTAACGTGCTGGGCAGACGTCCGCACGACGGGTGGATGCTCCCGGTGCGGCCGGGGATTTTGGCCTAACGTGCTGGGCGGACGCCAGTGCGACGGGTGGATGCTCCCGGTGCGGCCGGGGATTCTGGCCTAACGTGCATGGTGCTTCCCTCTTGGATGGGGATTCTGGTGCGGCGTCTCTGCAGCGGGTGGGCTGTGTTGCCGCTGTCTGTTTCAGCCCTTTCGTCGAAGCGGGCGTTTCGGATGCTCCACGCAGGGTCGTCCTCGCGGCCAGGGATTTTGGCCTGACGTCGCTGACGTCATTCGTAACCCCGACGTGTATGCCGCTTGTTGTTGCAGCACGCCCAATGCGGCCGGGGATTTTGGCCTAACGTGCTGGGCAGACGTCCGTGCGAAGGGTGGATGCTCCCGGTGCGGCCGGGGTTTTTGGCCTAACGTGCTGGGCGGACGTCCGTGCGACGGGTGGATGTTCCCGGTGCGGCCGGGGATTTGGGCCTAGCGTGCATGGTGCTTTCCTCTTGGATGGGGATTCTGGTGTGGCGTCTCTGAAGGAGGGAGGTGGATATACTCAAAATCCAATATGCTTTTGGACCTCTCCTTCACGATCTGCGTGAGGGGTGCCCCCCAGTTTCTGAGTTTCGAGGATGTCCGTAGCGAAACGGCCAGGTTGCTCAAAGATGGCTCGACAAAGGCCCGATTTGGGGAGGATGTCTCAGGCGAAACAGCGATTCTCCTATAGAGGAGCTCAGAATCATTCAAAATACATTGTGTTTTTGAATCGTTGAAGCAAGAATTTTCAAAATCCTATGTGTTTTTGGACCTCTCCTTCACGATCTGCGTGAGGGGTGCCACCGATTTTCAGAATTTTGAGGATGTCCCTAGCGAAACGGCCGGGAAAATCGAAGACGCACGCACGCGCGGACGCACGGACGCATTAATCCCCTCTGAGCCCCTCTGAGCTCTACTCCCTCGGAGAGGTGCGTATGAGAATATATATATATAGAAACATATACATACATGGGGAAAGACCGAGATAGGTAGCGTTCTGTTCCCCATCCAGAAGGCATTCGGTCGCCACAAGCACCCGCACGGCCAGGCGATCCTCGACCAGGCGGCCGCCGAGCTCAAGGAGTGGAAGAACTCTGCCGAGAAGTGGGGGGACATCAAGGTTGAGTGGGAGCGCTTGGCAACCGTCGTCAATGGGGGCAGATCCGAGGCCATTGGAGCCGACAGCGTGAAGGATGGCATCGTGAAGATTAACAGCTGGGCAGAGTCCGTCACAGACTCCACGTGGTCGGTCATGGGCGCCGCCGCCGGGGATGATCGCTGGGTGGCCCAGACCGCCTTTCTCAAGCACACGGACTTCGTGATCGCGGAGACGTCTTTGCTGTTGAACACGTGGGCCAAGGCGACGCTGTCGCGGACCGAGACCTCGGGTCTGAAGGGTTCCCTCGTGAAGGCGGCGTGCAGGCCGGAGCTCATGGGCAGCGCGAGCGCCAAGTTGAAGGAGCTCGCCGAGATCCAGCTGAATTACAATTTGATTGACCGCCGCTCGGTCGGGGAGGGGCCCGACTCTCTCGCCCGCATTGCTGAGAGGCGTTCGGCTCTATTGTTGCTCTCGCGGTGGTTCGGCTCTTCGGACCTGCTCGCGAAGGTGGGGGCGTCGAGCGCGGACCTGCAGGAGTGCGATGCCAAGAAGTTCATCGAATTGGACACGCTCGACGCCAGCGCTGACCCCGCCCTGGTGGCCATCCGCGCGAACGCCGACATCGCCGCCTGCCTGGAGAAAGTGCGTCCTGATGCGAGGCGGAAGGTCATGGCGCAGTCCGCGCGGCCGCTGGCTGCTCTCGACGAGGGGCACGGCGCGATCTGCAAAATGATCCATGTCATCGCCAAGGTATCGGGGCTATGCCTGTCAGCTTCGCCCACTCGGGGCCTTCTCATCAGCTCCCTGGGAGGTGGAAGCGGGCGGAGGTGTTGGGCGGGGCGGGGGCCGGGGGCGGATGGCGGAGGCGGAGATCAGGGGCGGGAAGGGGGGGGGGGGGGGGGCGGGGGGCTGATGCAGGAGGCGAACGGGTCAGTGAGATGGCGAGCATCGCGCCCGGAAGGCATCGAAGGTGGAGCGCCTCGAGCTGAGCGGTGAGATCGCAGGCGAGTTTGAGAAGGTGACGGCCGATGTCGCGAGCGTCGCTGCCGCCTACGACGACGCTGCCTTCGCCGAGCTCGACTCGCAGATGGTCAGGTGCGCGGCTGGCCCCGAGCGGTCGCGGGCCCAGCTGAAGCAACTCCTCGGGCAGTGGGCGATGAAGCTCGCGAGCTTGATCGACGTCTCGCGCCGCAAGGAGGTCGTGCGCGCCAACGGCATGAAGGACTTCGCATCGGCTTTCGAGGGGGCCTTCGTCAGGGCGACGGCGCTGCGCACATTCCTGAATGCGAACCGCAACAAGATGGCCTCCGATTTTGAGGTCGTCTGCGTGGGCTTGCCCACCGAGGAGGGCGTCTCCGTCGTGGACGCGCTGGAGCTCTACGGCAGCGACGTCTTGGAGAAGGCGCGCTCGGTCGCGGAGGCCGAGGCGATGGACGTCGTCAGAGGCGTGTCGAAGTTGCACCCCGACAAGGACGTGCTTCTCAGTCCCGCGGTCCTCCGTTCAGCCGACCTGAAGGCCAGCATCGCCACCAACCCGCATCATGGCGAGATCGCCCCCGCCGTGATGGCGGCGCTTGCCGCGAGGGACGCCCTGGCCAAGCTTCCCACCAAGATCATCCAGGCGCAGTCCGAGAGGGAGCTCAACAGCAGGGTGAACGTGGCCAAGGTGGCCATCGGCTTGGAGTACTGTCTCCGCGTGCTGTCGGAGGTGGCGGCGCTGGAGACGCAGGATGGAGGGGCCGAGGGGCAGGGCCGATGAGATAGGCGCGGGGGCGGTCGGGGACAGGGGTGGGCCGCGGAAGGAGGGGCGCGGACGGGGGGGGAGCGGGGCGCGGGTGATGGGCCGGCGAGGGCGGGGGGGGTTCTCCCCGCCTGCCTCCCGTGCCCCGTGCGCCCATGCATCCCTGCTCGCCCTCGTCTTCGGCCTTCCTCCTCGTCCAAACCCCTCCGCCCCCCCCGCCCCCCCGCCGCCCCTCGACGCGGCCCTCGCCGGCCCGCCCGAGGAGAAGAAGGCCGCCAGAGTGGCGGCGGCCCTGGAGCGCATGAGCAAGAAGGGCGTGAAGGTCCCGACGTACATGAAGTCGCACCTTGACGCGCTGGCTCGCGGCGGCTAGCCGCCCGCCAGCCTGCCCCATCCCACCTCCCCCTCCCTTGTGCGTGGGCGGGCCATCTGGGATGGCTTGCCAAAGCGAGCGCGATAGGCGCAATATGACCCATCCTCCATCCTGCGCCCATCGCGCCCGCGGAGCGTGGTCGGGCCCCCTGCCCGGGGCAAACAGGAGAGGAGGAGGAGGAGGAGGAGGAGGATGGGGGAGGAGGAGGAGGAGGAGGAGGAGGAGGAGGAGGAGGAGGGAGAGGGAGAGGAGGCGGAGGAGGAGAAGGAGGAGGGCGAGGCGAGGGGGGGCATGCGGATGAGGAGAAGGCTTCTTGGAAGCTTCTTGGAGCTTCCTGGGGGCCTCCCAGGATATGTTTGAAATCTGCTCGGGGGCCTCGCAGGGCCCCCTGGCGGCCTCTTGAGCCCCTTGAGCCGTTTAACACACATATGGCCCATGGGCTCATAGGCTGTGGGGGCCGCCTTGGGGGCCTCTCTAGGCCGCGTCGGTGCCCTCCTGGAACGGGCCGCAGCCGTCTTGGGCCCCCCCATCGGGGGACCCTTGGTGCGATGTTTGGGCCCTCCTGGGCCGACTTGAGGCCCTCTCAGGGGCCTCCTGGGTTATCTTGGATTATGTTGGAGGCCTCTCGGTGGCTTCTTGGGCCCTTTTGGGCGGTCGGGAACCCGGGCGAGCGATGACTCTCAATCGTCCAGAAAACTTTGGTTGATCAATGGCGCTGGGCCCATCGGGCTCTCCAAGGGGGCCTTTTGGCCCCCCTCGGGCTCTCCGAGAGGGCCTGTTGGACCCCTCGGGCTCTCTCAGAGGGCCTCTTGGACCGCTTGGCCAGGCATTTCCTCATTTCAGCTCAATCATCTTATCCCCCCCCCCCTCCGTTATCTCCTCCTCTAGAGCCGCTCGCGCGGATGCGGCTCAGTCTTGCCCGCGGCCCTGAAGGACTGGCAGCCTTTTTTTTTTTTTTTTTTTTTTTTTCTGTTTCTTCACCCTCTCTCTCACCCCACCCCTCTATCTCCATCTCTCTCTCTCTCTCTCTCTGGCGTGAGTCCCCCTTCGGAGGCCTGCGAGGGGGGGGCCAGCGACGCCGTCCTGGCGCCTCAGCACCAGGGGCAGAGCAGCCCCCTCCTGCCCCGAGAGGCCCCGCCGAGGGCCGCGCTTGCAGCGCGCCGCGAGGGAGCTGCGCGCACGCGAGGAACTGCGCGCAGTGCGCGCCAGCGATGTGTCCGGGAACACAAGTCCTCCGCCTCCTCGCCCTCCCCTTTTTCCTTCTCCCACTGCCCTTCCTCCCCCTTTCTCCCCCCCCCTCTCTCTCTCTCTCTCTCTCTCTCTCTCTCTCTGTTTCCGACTCTCTGGTCCCCCGCCGAACTGCCCCCGCGGCGTCGGGGCTGGTTCCTGGGCGAAGCCGGGCCCAGGGGGGGACGGTCGGGCGGTCGATCAGGGCTTGTGCGTGTGTTTGCGTGCGTGTGTGTGGGTGTGTGCGTATTTTCGATTGGCACGGGAAGAAAACAACGACCTCGGGTCCACGCAAGGCCCCGGGGGCCGGTCCCTGAGGGCCCCGTTCGGGGCCTTGAAGAACGCCTTCGGCCCCTCTTCCCTAGAAGCCTCGATCGCCCCCCCATCGGCCCCTCGGGCGCCTGCCCCCTCTTGCTGACGCCTTTTTTTTGCGTGTGCTTTGCTCGGTGTTGTTAACGCTTCGGGTGGAATTAGTTGTTTTTGTTGTCGTTGCATGTTGTAATATCCCAATTAGTTGTTTTAGTTGTTGTGGGCACTGCTGGCCTGCCGAATTAATTGTTTTACTTGTGGGCCGCGTTGCTACAATTGTATGAATTGTTTGTTATAGTTGTTGTTTTAGTTGTCTACAACATCCCGCATTAGTTGTTGGGGACAGTTGATGGGGCGAGGAAACCTATCAGTTGAAGAGTGCCCCAGGAGGCCCCAAGGAGCCCCCAAGAGGCCCCAGGAGGCCCCCAAGAGGCCCCCAAACGAGGCCTAAAGAGGCCACGAAACAGCCCCGAGGAGGCCCCACAACGGTCCCAAAACGGCTACCGAGAGGCTGCGAAACTGCCTTCACGACGTCCCCGACAGGCCAACCACGAGATCCAAACCAACACCCATGAGGCCTCTGACCCACCACCCAGGGCACGGTGGCGGGAGCAGTGACAGCACTTGTGCACAGCATGTTCCGGCGGGAGCCTTCCGGAACACGCTGCAGGAGGAGGAGGAAGATCAGGAGGAAAGAGCTGGAGTGGGAGAAGGAGGAGGAGGGGGACGAGGAGGAGGAAGAGGTCTCCAAGACAGCTCCAAGATAGCCGAAGAGGCTTCCAAGAGGGTCCTGGGCGGCCCACGAGGGCCCCAAGGCGATGCCTGAGGCGCCCAAGACGGCCCGAGAGGGCCCCAAGACGGCCCCAAGAGAGGCCCAAGAAGGGGAAGCACGAACCGAGAATCCGAGCTTTCTACCCCGAGAGGTTCTCGGGAAGTCCCAAGAGGCCCCCAATCGGATCCAAGAGGCCCCCAAGAAGCTCCCAAGAGGGCCGACGAGGTTCCAAGAGATCTCCCAAGGTGGCCCCAAGAGGCACAACTCATTGTTTTACGATTGGGCTTTGACGGGTTTCAATTTTTTCGGCCTTTGGCATCCCGATGCTCCAAGACGGCCCAAGAGGCTTCCAATACCGCTCCAATATAGAGGAAGAGGCCTCCAAGAGGGCCCCAAGACGGCCCGCGAGGGCCCCAAGACGGTGCTTGAGGCGCCCAAGACGGCCCGAGAGGGCCCCAAGAGCCCCAAGAGAGGCCCAAGAAGGGGAACGCGACCCAACAGCAGAGCGTTCCCCCCAAAAGACCCACAGGAGGCCGCAAGAGGCCCTCAAGTGGTCCGACGAGGACGCCAAAAGCTTCCCGAGGGCCCAAAAGGCCCCTAGGAGACGTCCAAGATTTTTTTTGAATAGCCCAAGAGTGCCCTCGATGCGTCAAAACTGCTTCCAGGAGGCCCCCGGGAGGCTTCCGGATTGCCTCAATCTGGCCGCAGGTGGCCTCAAGTCGGGCCTCCACGCAGCCAAGACGGCCAATGACGGCTTCAGATTGCAGAACCGATGCCCCCAAGGGACCTTCAGACGCCCCCCCAAGAAGCACCCAAGAGGTGCCTCCAACAGCCAGTTGACGAAGCATGCGGAACACCCCAGAAGCTCCTCAGATGCCGTCGCACGCCTGTGCTTGATAGCGACGTCCAACATCGTCCAGCGCCCCCCCGGCCTGGGCTGGAACCTGAGCGCGCGCGAAGCGCGCGCGAGGGTTCTAGTGTATGTGTATATATATATATATAGATCGAATGACTTTCGGCCCATCCCACAATCG